ACCGCTCTTTGCCAAGATCAATGCTTTCAACTAACACCTTGCCTCTCTTCTGGAAAAATAACTGATGCCAACCTTCTGAACAGGTTGGTAATCTCAGACCAAAAATCCTCTGCAAGAAAGACCAGTTTTTCCCTCCTACTCTGTGGAGTGTTGACATAAGTACTGGAGTATTTCATTCTGTGAGGCCTGCTTAAAGGATGTTTTATTTACTGGAATTATTGTTACAAAAACATGTACCTACACTTAGAAATGCCAGAAAACATTTCCAAGACAGATGACAGCATACAGCTAGATGCATAAAACAAAAAATTCATACACACACATTTGTATGCAGGTCACCAACAAAGAAGCCTTCTCCCATACCACCATACTCCAAATAACAGAGGAATGGGTTTCTTTTTCCCCTTTCTTCACTTCTAGACGCACTGATGCTTCCCTGGAGCAGGTAATAACACTACTGCATTTGTATGTCATCAATATTTTGAGGATTTATTGAATGACTTACTTTCCATTTTCTTCGTGCTGCAAACTTTTTGAATTTCTCCATATTCACTGCAGATGCTTTTCTACTAAGTGCTTGCTGGGTGTCTTTAGGCTATGTGCAAAAGGAAAATAAATCCCACAGTTACATCCAGAACTTTCATAAAATACCTTTCTGCATGTAAGACTCTGTCCTTCAGTGATTACTTCCACTTACATTATAATAATACTGTAATAATAAAGTAGTTGTAAGCACTTCATTTTAACATCCACAGCCTAGCGAGGAATGCAGATGGGATTTCCTGAGAAAAGGCCCTGAAGGAAATCCAGACCTAAGACTGTATCATGCAATAGCAGAATTTGTTTTTTCATTTTTAACAAAATAAGCCAACATGCAATAGAATATTCAGCTTTATCCTTCACCTCCCTCTGTGACAGAGGCACTGGATGTCTGCTAGATAAACCCTGTCTTCTTGGAAGGCTTCCAGTTGATTTTAAATGCAACCAAACGTTGTTCCAGTGTCAGTGTAATCACCTGGATATTGCACCAGCTACCCATGGAATATACCAAATTTAGACCATATGTTCCCATATGGTCTTGAAGTAATTTTTATGGAGATATGAAGGTAAAGGTAGTGATGGGAATGGGAAAGAGAAGATACCATCAGCGTGGTAGGGGAAAAAAGCCTGGAAAGTTATGATATAAAGGACCATAGAAGAGTACAAAACAACATGCCTTGATGCAGAGTGGAGACCTTGGTCCCCGAGGGAGAAAACTGTGCAATGCTTGCTTCAGCGGTATAAGAGATCATTTCAGCATGTTTCAACTATTTGAGATTATCCCACCAAAATTCAGCAAAGCACAGTCAAATCTGTAGTTTAGTGTACTGGAGTACAAATATCTGCCCTAGGATGCCGAAATGGGCAGGAGCAGTTGTGGCATGGGTAAATATTCTGCTAACTGTCTCTCTGGGAAGTGAATGGGGTCAAATACCCACTGTGAATCCCCAAGACCTGGGAAATCAATGGCACTGAAGAGGTTTACCACTCACAATCAGAATGCGGTATGGAATTTGAAAAAAATGAAGTGGTAGGTATTACTACACACATTAAGAAGAATCACAGGTCCCATTTCCTCCCTCTCAAGCTATTAACACCACAACAGCTCAATCCAAGTCAAACAACGTGGAACACAAAGAAGAGGACCACTGCCCTGCATTAACTGCTTTCTTCAGTCTAAAGAGGAAGGACAGAAGAGATGACCCTTTTCTCCCCTCCCCCTCCCCCCAACATAAAGAAGGAGATTAAAAGATGAAAAACATGAAAGAAAATTGGACAGGAATCAGAGAATGTATCTTTTTCAGTGCAATGCTCCCTGAAGATGAGCTTCTCTGCCTAAGGACGATTTCAATCTCAATAGCGGGTTATGTCCCTGCCGATGACTTACAAAGAGTCCACATTCTGCACCTATTAGTTTTCATACAGACAGCTTTCCAAACCAGTAACTTACATTAAACAATTATGCCAATTTTCCTTGTTAAGGAACTTGAAAAGTGAAAGCGAAGTATGAAATGAAGAATGATTAAAAATAGGACAACAGAATGAATTACAAGCTAACCTTGATCCAAGGATGCAGCAAACTATCTTGAATAGTCATTCTCTTCCTTTAATAGAATAAAAGGCAAAACTGTTTCAGATAGTAAAAAAATACATACAGCTGTATGATTGTTAAACTAACATCTAAAAATACAATGTAATTTGAAATACTAGAGACATAGGCTACAACAGTGTATACACAAGAGGAACAACTCACTTTGGATCCTTTACTAGAAGTCTTTGTATAAAATCTTTAGCTAGGGCACTGGTATTACTGAAGAACTCTTCTTCAAATTCATAATTCACAGCAGACACATTTGCTAATGTTTCCTGTTTGGTTTCTCCAAGAAATGGTGATGCACCACTTAGTCTGCAAGACAGACAGAACATTCCTCTCATTTCATGTTGTAATATCGCTGTTTCAACCCTCTCAGATCAATAAAAAGCACAAAAGTGAACATTTTTATTTTCTGCTCAAAGACTGCAAACAGACTTTCAGCAAGATGTGCTATAGCAGGGCAAAAAGCCTTGCTGTAATTTCAGGGAATACTGACCAAGATAAAGCCACTGTGGAAAATCATCTACAGATCTGAAGACAGTGTCCCATGCTATCTCAATGCTGATTAATGGCCTTGCTTTCAATAAATATACTATAGCTTTTATGATCATTCAACTTGAATCACAATGTACAATCAAAATAGTTTGACTCATATGAACACCACTGAAAACCCAGATGACAGAATCAGAATTAAAAAATAGAAAAAAAAAAAGAAAAACAAAAAGCATTTGCAAGAGCACCTGTAGATTTTGGTACTTACAGAATATAAGTTATTACACCAATGCTCCTGGAGTGAAAGACAAAAAAAAAAAAAAGTGAGGGAAGGGGGAGAGAAATAGATGGAGGGATAGAGAGGAGAGAGAAAAAAAAAAGGTTAGAACATAAGAATAATCACAAGAGATTTACTTCAAGTAAGATCCAATAACTTACCACATATCTGCTTCAAGACCAAGAGGCTCATAATTTACTATTTCAGGAGCTAAAGGAGAAAGCAGGAAGATCAGTACCTAGTCAGAGAACAGATCTGTGTCACTCTGAGCCTATATATGTCAGAGATAATAAGCTAAGATGTTGATAGATAAAAACACCTTAATGCAAGTCTAGGTTGGAACTGAATGATAGCAAATTGCTTATTTACATTTCAAAATGTCATAAATTACACACAAAGTGCATAATCTGTAACTCAGCCAAACCAAGCTGGCCACAAATTCTGTTTCACAGACTAAGAATAGTTTAAAGAAATAACAGTTTTCTCACCAACAAACTCTGGCGTTCCGAAGATATTTTTGAATTCATTTCCAAAGTCAATTTTGTGTGCTAAACCAAAATCAATAATCTTGATTCGAGGCTTTGGTACATTCCTGTCCAACAACATTATGTTTTCAGGCTTTAAGAAGGAGAAAGGGGAGAGAAAGAGAGATTATACATAGGCATGAAATGTCTGACACATAGCAGCATTATTAAGCACTGAACACTTCTCTTTCAGTCTGAAATTGTGTCTTCAGTAGAAAAACCCCATCTTTTCCTATTATGATGTAACATATTGTAAAAATTAACTACAGTAAAGTAGGATTTCATGCTGATGACAGAGTGCGATGATTTCCACAGGGGCAAGCTTTTAGCTCTTGTAGATTTCTTGCAGCTTTCTTGCGACTGACCCTAAGTGAAACACGCTGTCTTCGGTGAAGACAAAAACCTCTGTGCTACAGACATTTGACCAGTGCTGGGAACTTGCAAGAAACAAAGTCATATAAGCTAGTATTTGGGCTTGGTTAACATTACTCCCTGAATGAAGTTTCTTTCACACTACAATCAGTCAGGGAGGTGTATCTTGTTGCCTTTGGATCTCCAAGATAAACTTTTGGAGTGGTCCAGCTCCCAGATTTTAAGGTTCAACACACTGGCAAAAGAGGAATCAGAACAGGTCCTCATGTCTTTTCTAGTTTATTTTAAAATATAGACTTTAGATTATTTTACTACAAAGATTTGCAAAACCAGAAATGAGGTTAGAAGGTAAAATGTCAAGATTACCAAAGGAGCCTGCTTTTGCACTCCATCACTTCAACTTGCATACAGAACCAGCTACTTAGTCTTCATAACCTGTCATGTCCATAAGCTGGTGTGTTTTAAAGAGTTTCTGGAGCTACATTTATCTTTGTTAAGGACTTCTGGAGTCATTAAAGACACCTCTTCATCATCACCCTTCTTTCACCTCTCTCCCCCAGTTAGAGGGGCTGATACGTGCAAATGTAATATTCTTCCTTCCCTTCCTACATTTCTATTGCATACTTCTATTGCTCTGCATAGTTAAAGTCTTGTTGCATACTGTAATTCTTGTATTCTTGGTATCTGGTGTAAGGATGCTTTGCTTCATTACAAGCACATTGGCCAAAACTTACATTTCATATTGTAAGAAATGTATGTCTTATTAGATTTACAATTTTTTTCTTTTGTTGACTGTCAAGCAAAGACCAAGTATATTACTGTAGGTAATGAGGGTGAGACTGGCAAAAGTATGCTTATTCTAAAAATCATT